CTCTCTCAGCCTGGCTCCAGAGCAGAGCTGCTCCAGCCCTCGCAGCATCTCCGTGGCCTCCTCTGGCCTCGCTCCAACAGCTCCACGTCCCTCTTGTGCTGCTGCCCCAGAGCTGGATCAGAGCTGCAGGGGGGGGGTCTTGTGAGAGCAGAGCAGAGCAGAGGGGAGGAATCATTGTGAAGATGGGGGATGCATGTTTCTCTTTTGAAATAAATAGCCCAATTCAAACACATCTGTGTCCATGTAGGGAGGATGTCATTGCTTTGCTTTGTGCTGCATGGATCACTGAAGCTTTCCTCTCCCTCTCCTTCACAGCGGTGCTGAGAGTAGCAGGTTCCTTGCAGAAGAGCACAGAAGTCATGAAAGCTATGCAAAACCTAGTCAAAATCCCCGAAATCCAAGCGACGATGAGGGAGTTGTCCAAAGAGATGATGAAGGTAAGATCTAGAGCAACAGGATCCGGGTGGACAGGAGCTGGTCTTTACTGTGCCATGAGATCACTCAGGTGGCTCCTTTGTCAGAGGGATTGTGTGAGCCCTAACGAATGCAGATTGAAGTAGCACGTAATAGCTGGGGTTCTCTAGCAGAGTAGGTGGTACCTGCAGCATGTTTGGTGTGGAGCTTGAGGTGTAAAACTGCTGCTGAGTTTGAGGACAGAAGGAAGAGGATCCATCCCCATGCGGAGCGGTTGTGGCTTGGTTGTCCCAGTCCCATGGGCAGGGGCAGAGCAAGGCTGGCAGCAGTGCGCAGGGACTGCCATGGCCCTCAGCTTCTCCCTGCTCTTGGGAGATGGAGTTCCTGCTTTCAGGATGGAAATGCTCATTGAGACCCCTGACAGCCTCTTGTGGAGCAGGGAGCTCAAAGCCTGCTGCTCTGATACTGGGTTTAGAGCACCCAGCTGACTGTCTCCATGGGATGAAGTGCTCTGGTTTTGAGCTGCACTGGTTCTCTGTTGTGGCTGGTATCTTTTCAACTACCAAAACTGGTTTGCTTTTTCCCCCCTTTCAACTCAGTTTGATTTCTTACTCATTTTACCACTGTGCACCAGAGCAGTTTGGCCATCTCTGGGTTATAGACCCTGCAGAGGCAGTTTTCAAATCATAGAATCATAGCTTTGTGTTGGAAGGGACCCTCAAAGTTCATCTAGTCCAATCCCTGAATGCAGACAGAAGAAAGGGAGGCTGTGTCAAACACTGATTTCAGTGTGTTGTACAGTCTGTGTGTTGTACTGAGGTTTGCAGTTGTGTTTCATGGGCTTGGAGCATGTTCAGATGTGGAACAACAATGACACCTTGAGGGTTTCTGAGTGAGAACATGAGGGCTTGGTCCTCATTTTTCTTACCGCTTTTCCTGTGCACTGCTTGTACAGAGTCATAGAATCAGCTGGGTTGGAAAAGGTCTCTTAGATGATCAGGTGTGACCATTCCCTGGGCCACCACTAACCCATGGCACTGAGTGTCTCATCTCCACAGTATGTGAACACTTGCAGGGACGGTGGCTGCAGCCCTGCCCTGGGCAGCCTGTTCCAATGCCTGAGCACCCTCTGGGGCAGGAATTGTTCCTCAGCTCCATCTAAACCTGCCCTGGTGCAGCTTGAGGCCGGTTCCTCTTGTCCCATCCCTTGTTCCTTGGGAGCAGAGCCCAGCCCCTCCTGGCTCCATCCTCCTGTCAGGCAGCTGTAGGCAGCCATCAGGTCCCCCCTGAGCCTTCTCTTCTCCAGACTGAACCCCCCAGGTCCCTCACCCGTTCCCCATCACACTTGTGCTCCAGGCCCTGCACCAGCTCCGTGCCCTTCTCTGGCCCCACTCCAGCCCCTCAATGTCTCTCTTGTAGTGAGGGGCCCAGAGCTGAGCACAGGATTCAAGGTGCGGCCTCCCCAGTGCCCAGTGCAGGAGCACGATCCCTGCCCTGCTTCTGCTGCCACACTGGTGCTGATACAGGCCAAGATGCTGTTGGCTTCTTGGCTGCCTGTGTACAAGCTGCTCATGTTTAGCAAGCTGATATATGTACTTAGACTGGAGGCAGGGGTGTTAGGCCCCTTCCTGCAGCAGGATGGGCTTGATACAGAAAGTCTGAGTGTTGTTAAATGCCTGGATAGGCATAACCCAAATGAGGAAGTAGGAAGCATGTCCTTACTCTGCTGCAGATTGCAAGCACATCACGCACTGCCTTCTCTGCTTTCTGCTAGGCTGGTATTATAGAGGAGATGCTGGAGGACACCTTTGAAAGCCTGGAGGATCAAGAGGAAATGGAAGAGGAAGCAGAGATGGAAATCGACAAAATCCTGTTTGAAATCACAGCTGGTGAGTTTGCATTGGCTGGGAGCAGAGCTGGGACCCTGCTGTGCTCAGCGGGACACAGCACTTCACATCCTTCTCTTCTGAGCTGTGCTCTCTCCGACGTGTCTTGGCCTTTGCCACCAGGCAGAGTGCTTTTGAAACTGGTTTCTCAGGCAGTACTGGATGAGGAGGCCAGTGTGGTTCAGTGAGGCAGTAGTAATGTCTGTGTTGTTCATCAGTGAGGTTGCAGCAGCTTGGTGTGTATCTGAGCATCCTCCTGATGAGGGGGAATGTGAATGACTGGACAGGCTTATTAATGAAGCCATGAAATGAACTTGGCTGTGTTACCTCGAGTCTCAGGCCCAGGGGTAACTCCCAGCTGTAAAGTACTGTTGCGTCTTGAGGATTTGGGGAGGGAGAGAAAATAGCACAAACCAAACCCAAATTCCAACCACAAACCCCAGCTCCTGAGGTCATGATCTACTGGCTCTTGTTTGACTTAGATAATGCTTACAATGCTCGTTGCCTGGATTTCTTGTGAGGTGGCGTGCGATGCCCAGCTCCACAGCACCTACCCTGCTCTTGCCTCATGCCCAGCCCCTGGCGTGTTGCCCTCCCCTCTTTCTCACATCCCCATCCTGTTTCCTGGCTGGGAGCTGCTCCCTTCCTGCCTCTCCCAAGCAAGTTGATCCTGATCGAGTCAGCCACTTGTGCCCAGCCTCCACCAGGAGTGAGTGGCTGGATTCCTGTAGCTGCCCCTCACCATGAAGACCTAACCCACAGCCTTTGTTTGCAGGGGCCTTGGGTAAAGCACCCAGTAAAGTCACAGATGCTCTTCCAGAGCCCGAGCCCATGGGCGCGACGGCTGCTGTGGATGAGGAGGAAGACATCGAGGCGATGCAGTCGCGGTTGGCCACCCTCCGCAGCTAAGGGGGGACCGGTGTGTACAGGTGGCCTCTGGGCCATGGTCCTGCCTTCAAAACGCAAAACTTAATATGTGAGAGTACTTTATGTAATATATATTGGTATTTTTTTCTTCCTGGGGGTTGTGTTCTCTAAGAACCTGCTGTAACATACCTCTGACTGGGGAGCGTGAGCTGCAGCGGCCACCCTTTGCCCACCTCCCCTGTGAGAGGCTTGGTGAAATGGTAGCCATGGTGTAACCTTATGGGTTTGTAGGTAGAAAGTCCTGAAATCCATCCTTAGCTTCAAGAAGCATCTTGTCCTAAAAGGCACTTTGGCTTCGTCTGCTACCGAAAGCCTTCAGCAGTGTAAGAGTGTGTTCTTCCTGAATCACTACACATTTTATTAAAGCTGCTTTTAACAGTCAGTTCAGTTTGCGTCCTCTCTTCCACCTCCCTCCTGGGTTTAGAACACCTTTGGGGTTGTTTCTTTAGCACATAGGTGAAGAAAAGCTTTTAGTTGTTAAATAGTTGCTGTGTTCCAGTGTGGCCCAGGTGGTGTACGTTCACTGCAGTGCCTTCTTCAGCAAGGAACAGCTCCATTTCCCTTTTCTCTACAGCCACATACTCACAGTGAAAGGCTTTGTGTCATTAACTGAGCAGTGTTGCTGTCAAATACAATGGGGTTATGGTAAAGCTGTTGTATGATCTGTCCTTACACAGAGCAGCTGATTTACCTCTGTGCCAAACCCTACAGCTGAGCTGACACTGCCTTGCTGCTGCTGGAGCTGGGACCCTCCCAGAGAAAGGAAATGACCCTACATATGCAGAAAGTCATGCTATGATCATGTCAGTAAGGATCAGAGGCTGCAAAGCCTTAAATCAAGCTACAGCTTCTTGAAAGGGCTTCCTTAAGTGACAGTCTCCACCACAGCACCTAAATTCATCCTTCAGAAGCTGGAGAATTGAATTTTTCAGGATAAATGAATGAAGTTGAAATGAGATTTCAGCCTGGAGAAGGTGCTGCGGGGAGACCTCATAATGGTCATCCAGTGTCTAAAGGGCCAACAGCACTCCAGAGAGGGACACTTGCCAAGGGGGGTGGCTTTAAACTGACCGTATTTGTCCACATGAGCCTCACTCCAGTTTTAATCCTGGTGGGTGCCACCTGTTCCCTGGTTTGAGGAAGGCAGCAGCTGTACCTGTTTGCAGTGCACACAGCACTTGATCCTAACTGCAAGTCACTGCATGCTCTGCTGCGCTTCAGGTACTGACAGTTAATGCAGTGAGGTGCAATGGGGACGGGAATCAGCAGTTTGGCAGTGTGGTACATGAAGTTCAGAACCGTGACTTGTGGCTAACCAGGACCTTTCCTCTCACACCTGGCTCTTCCCAACAGCTCTCCCATGCATTTCAGTGCCAGAAGAGACACTGGAGAACAGAAGGTTTGGATTACGGTGTTAGATGGGAGATGTGCTTTCCCACTCTTACCCCCGTGCCTGTTTTATGATGGTTTCAGTCTTTCTCAAGTGGTTCTGGAGCAGTGTGTGTGCTATTTAAGACTGCAGCTGCAAAGCTCCTTTAATACAGACCCTGATGCTGGCTGAGAAGCAGCCACTGAGCTACATGAGGCTTCAGTCAACCAAAGAGAGCTGTAATCAAACCTGTCTCTGAATTCAATACCCCAAAGCCTGCAGGTGCTTTACAAACCAGCTCAAGCAGTATGTGATACACCATTTTCTTTTGCATTTCAAAGCACTGCCTCAAACGAGTTACTTTTGAAAGCCTCAGTTGAAGAAGCCATGCAAGGAACAGTGTCTGAAATAGAAGAGTTTTATGTAGACCATTCAGTGTTAAAAACCAGGGAATCAAACATCAGTTCAACTGAAAGAGCAGTTTCAAACAGAAGCTGTTTTGATTAAAAGTGTCTTTGTTTTTTTAACATTTAGAAATTTAAATACATTTATCTAAAGATGGTTTAACCCCCGTCTCTATGTTCCTATACAATAGCTTAAAGCTACTTTTAAATGCTAGTTCTATGTTAATGTGAAATTCCAGAACTGCATTCTTACAGGAAAAAAAGGAAATCAGTTATTAAACTGGGTGACTCCTGCTTCCTCTCCCACCCCAAAATACATGTGAAAAACTGGAGCTTTACAATGCCTTGAAATAATGTTCTTTTTCAAACAGGGAATTTGGAATAGTTTCCCAACAGTTCTCTAAGGAGGTATTTTTGTACAGTTTGGAGAGCGACTCCGTATAAAGTTCTATTGCAGCTGAGCATTCACAGTATGCCACAGTCCATACATATTACTACATATACATATCAGGTTTGTAAACATTGGAAGAATACACAGAATATAGTACCACGAGCCTCTGGTACTGCTGAAAGGAAGATGAGGTAACATTCATAGAAGCTCAAAAGTCCACAGAGGTCCTGACTGAGTAGGTAAAAGAGCTGCCAGTGCTTCTGTTTCAGTGTGTGTGGTTAAGGCTTTCTGCTTCACGGTCTGCTAAGGCTGGATTCGTTGGCTCTCAGTATCCCAACCGCGTCTTTAACAGCGTGGTAGATGACATTCTTCACCTGGGAGGAAAAGAAAAGGCTTTGAGTTCTTAAAGGAACAGTGTAGCCAGGGTCAGGCTGGAAGCTGTATGAAGACAGGCTGAGAACACTGGGGCTGTTCAGCTTGGAGAAGAGAAGCTGCATGGAGACCTCAGAGCAGCCTTCCAGTATCTAAAGGGGGACTACGTGGATGCTAGAGAGGGACTCTTCATCAGGGACTGCAGCAACAGGACAAGGGATGCTGGGTTCAAACTGAAACAGGGGAAGTTCAGGTTAGATCTAAGGAAGAAGTTCTTTACTGTGAGGGTGCTGAGGCGCTGGCACAGGGTGCCCAGAGAAGCTGTGGCTGCCCCATCCCTGGCAATGCTTAAGGCCAGGTTGGACACAGGAGCTTGAAGCAAGCTGCTCTAGTGGAAGGGGTCCCTCCCTGTGGCAGGGGTTGGAACTGGATGAGCTTTAAGCTCCCTTCCAGCCCAGACCATGCTGTGACTCTGATCTGCATGACCTTCAAGTAAATAAATAACTCACAGGAAAAAAAGTTTAAATTCTGACAGGACAGAAATTGAGACCCCCTGGACTGAGCAAAGTATTGCCAGCTCACCTAGAGGAGACATGGAAGAGACATGGAGACAGCTAGAGAAGACATGGAAGAGAACACATCCAAGTAATCTCAAGCAAAGCTTCAGAAGCTTCTTCAGAACCGCTAACAAACAACAATTCAAATCCCTATTGAAACACCTCTTTGAGATCCAGTGCAGGAAGCTGACCTCAACAGGAAAGCAACCAGAGTTGTGTGGATACAGCCCTTGTGCTTTGGTGGGTGTTACAGGGTTAAGAAGGGCAGGGTTCATCCCGAGCACTGATAAGTTACCTGCAATTTATCTTCGTGGTTCGTATGCGTATGTGACAGATACCTAAATTCCTGAGTGAGCCAGAAGCAGTGTTTGACGTGCTCTGGGGATACAAAGTCTTCTGCAACTTTAATACAACTGTACAGATTATGAACCTAGAGAGAACAAACACAAGCGTTAGTGCTGTGCTCAGAGCTCTCTGCCCACAGGGTCAGGCTGGAAGAGTGCCCCTGGGCCTTGCCTGGTGTGGAGCTCCTGCTGGAATGAAAACTACATCTCCTAGAAACTGTACAATAGCCCAGCCTTGAACTCCATACTCCTGATGAAGGCGTTTTCTTAGCGACCGGTCCAGGTACCAGCTCTGGTCATGAATGGGATCGTGATCAACAGGGTTTTCTTGACCTTGTTCCTCTGCAACCTGCAAAGTCATAACATGACAGGTATTAAAATACACCATCCTCAGGATGTATCTGTGGTATTCCATACACATGCACTCCAGAGGGACTTGTACCATGTGTTCAGGTCTAAGAGGCACACAGTGAAAGGTCTGCATTCTTAGTCCTTAGTTTGTCAAGAGTTGGCCATTTGTCAGCCCCTCTGGCTTCACAGACACATTGCAAATGTGGGTACAGGGAATGGAAGTGAACCCAGTTCGCAGGAAGCAGCATCAGAGGGTTAAGGGACTCGGGTGTTCGCAGTGGGAACCACTGTCATACTGGATCAATACTCTCACACTATTAGAGCTTGTAACGGAAAGAAGCTACTGAGTGGGGAGTTCAGCAGGGGTCTGCCCAGAGACCAGCACGAGCCAGTGCACATCCAAACAGAGGATGTGAATGGATTTCTGGGAGACAGGAGGCTGGGAGCACAACAGGCTCTTTAGGAAAGGAATCTGAGGGCTGCAGGCAGCTAATTTCTGCAGTGTTCCAGTATAAACCTGTTTGCTGCAATCATTTACACCAGGAGTGTGGCCCAAAAACTCATCTGGGAGACAAACACCTTGGTTCTGCTGGAAGCCTCACGTTTGCAGGTAAGTGCTACAAGAGGTGAGACACAGACTTCAGAACTCAAAATGCCAACTCTTACCAAATTCAGTATCATGTTTATCAAGTATAAGATCCGTTCTTTGTTAATACTGAACCAACCTACTGTAGCCTCTCTGAGCTTCCCCCAAGACAGCAGCAGTTCAGGCTGACAAAGGTGACAGTTGTTCAGACCATCCCATTTACCCTTTTAAACCATCAACACATCAGCAATTTCCACTTTCAAAGCATCACAGAAGTTCCAGAATTGAGACCACCAAGAACTCTGGACCATTTGGGGTGAATTCAAACACTGAAACAAGCCCTTTGGGATGTGGTATCACATCTCTCCTAAGCCTTTAATTCGAAGGAAGCATCACCACAAACACCTCATGCTTTTCCCTTAATCCAAACCTCATAAAGGTATGGGGAAAAGTAGGTAGGAAAAGGGAGAGAGCAAGGGAGAACTTTAGGCACCACACACTGCTCTGCCATTTCCCAAGAGCATCTCCTGTGCGTGCTTTTAAGGCTGTAGTTTAAGAAAAGTTCAAGGATATGTACTTGCAAGCCCACACAGAGAGAAGATCAGTTTTTAGGACACCACAGCTTACCTTTTTAAGGAATTCCCGGATCTTCTCTGTATCTTTGGCAGCATAAATGTGCCACAGAGCTCCAGGTTTCTCTCTGCTTTCAGTAAAGCGCTTAATGGTCAGTTCATCAGAATCACCATCCTGTATGGTTTTAAGCACTTCTGTTGAGAGGAAACATGAGCAGTTATAGTAAAGGACTTTCCCTCCAACCACAAAAATAACCCCCATAAGTGTAAGAAAGACTTTACCTTCTTCTTGATCTGCCTGGCCTTTGGGGATACCCACATAAACCATAACGTTGGCTGCATCAGACACATCTAAATGGAGGTTTGTTGTGCCGTATTTTCTATCCTCTGGTGTTATTAAGCCTGGGAAAGAAGAGAACAAGAGCACATTAGCAAGACAATAAGAAACCTTAGACCCCTCTTAGCAGCACCAGCTGAAAAGACAGAGAGCTTTTCCTTTCTGTTCCAGGACAGCAATATGCTTTATAGCCAGGATCCTGCCCCATCCTGTGTCTCCCCAAGTGATCAGTTTACAGGCTGACAGTGATCCATGTCTATACCCTGCCTGTATGATATATAAAAGCCACATTTAAGTCCTGACTAAAAGAGAGATTCTTCCAGTGCCTAAAGAGGCTGACAAGAAAGCTGGAGAGGGGCTTTATTCATGAGTCTGTAGGGATAGGACAAGGGGAATGGCTTTACACTGACAAGAGGGGAGACTGAGATGAGCTCTTAGGCAGAAGCTCTTCCCTGTGAGGGTGCTGAGGCGCTGGCACAGGGTGCCCAGAGAAGCTGTGGCTGCCCCATCCCTGGCAGTGTCCAAGGCCAGGTTGGACACAGGGGCTTGGAGCAAGCTGCTCTAGTGGAAGGGGTCTCTGCCTGTGGCAGGGGGTTAGAACTGGATGAGCTTTATGGCCCTGTCCATCCCAAAGCATTCTGTGATTCTATGGTTCTGCAGCAGTCTAAAAAGCAGCCACTACAGTATTTACTACTCATGATCTTTTACTGGCCATGGTCATGCTTAGTTAAATGCCTTTTGAGTGAGAGCAGATGAACCAGCCATGGAAATAACTGCTCAAGAGAGATTAAAAACTAAATGATACAGCCCCAAAAGGAGAACCAACAAAAGTGATACAGCAGAAGCAGCTATACAAGAAATACACAGGGATGTCTATAGAAAGATAAGCTATGTGTACACATGCAGAGAAAGTCGATAGGGAAACTGGAAATACTATTGGCTTGAAACCATCTAGACAAAAACACATTTAATAGGACCATGTAATGCTCTGCATATCACTAATGCCTGTAAAGTGCGCCAAAGTTAGAGTTTTAAATCAATGGGATTAATCAAATTGTCTGGAACAGCAAGGATTCATTTCATTTACAGTGAAATCTAATCTCAGTGTGTGGTCAACATGACCATCAGAGCGAAACAGTCCTTACCATAGGCATTGTACATCTTGGGGCCCAAATCTGGTCGTACAAAGTAGTTGGGCAGTCGAGAGGCAAGGTTGAGCTTGCCACCCCTTCTGGTGTATTCTGGCAAGGGAATATTTTTCATCAAATCATCAAACCTAAAGTAACACAAATTCAGTATTAGGAACTGACAAAAAGCAAAGGCAGACTAAAACAGACCCGAGAAATGGTATTCCTTCCCCCCAGGGGGTTACAGAACACCAGGAAAAGGAACCAAGCAAGCAAGACAGGATATATAATAGATAAACAAATTTAACTGCTCTGGGGTAATGCTATTTCCTTGTGTAATCACCTCAACTGATATCAAATAGAGTAAGGCAGAATACTTAAGAGTCTGGCAAAACAGAAGCTTCAACTGAGCTTTACATTTCAAAGTGACTCAGGGTTTTAGGGAGCTTCCAAAGTTTATCCAACCATGAACCAATTTAGGTACCTGCTTTACTTAGGAATACATTGAACTACATAAGAACTTGTTTTATGACAAGTGGTGAGGCACTGGAACAGGTTGCCCAAAGAAGTGGTGAATGCTGCACCCTTGGCAGTGTTCAAGGCCAGGCTGGACAGAGCTTTGGGTGACATGGTCTGGTGTGAGGTGTTCCTGCCCATGGCAGGGGGTTGGAACTGGATGATCTGAAGGTCCTTTCCAACCTAAACCATTCCATGATTCTATGAAAACTTGCTTAGGTCTGTCAGGCATCTCAAACAACATGGTCACACATGACCAGGTGCTTCCCAAAGCTGAAGCAGGTGTCAAGCACAGCAGGATTCCTGCATTCCGGAATTGGGGGGGGGTATCACACATTATGAACAGTTTTTTTGTGAATTCCTACCGAGAAGGCATCATATCTCTGAAGTCTTCTCCTGGAGGCCAGTCTTTAAGCTTCAGCACCATTGGTTCTCCTTCTTCTGTTCTCAGGCGACCTGTTGGCAAATGTTAACAGGTCTGAGCTTTTAATAGTTGTACAACTCCAAATGCAAAGAACTGAGACAAATAAATCCTTATTCTCACTTAAAATCATGCTCATTCCACAACTATTTCTGTAGAGCTATTTAACTAGTTGGTAGGAAGATCCCAAACTTCCTCAACGCTTCCCCAAAAGACTAAAGGCGGCCAAACATACTCCGGAAGGAGACTCCTGACAGTTTCTACCCTTTCCACATGGTGGGAATACACTGCAAACACACTGCCCAGCATGAAGAAAACCCCTGGAACACCTTGTAAGCTATTTAAGAATGATAAATTTGTGCTATTTGTTGAATATTTTGCCTATTGGAACAAAGATTCACACTACTTACTTGAGATATCTTCAAATCCATCCCAGAAGTCTCCTACAGTAGCTCCAGTGATGATTTCGTTGGTCCTGCAGTTAACCAGATCCACTTCCTGTTGGCCAAATTCTTTCCTAAAGGATTCTGGTCTCCAGAGGTCTGCATTTAATTTGTGATGCACTCCTGACACCATTACAGGCTGTGAGGATGAAGAACACATAGTGAAAAACTATTCAGCACCAAAAGTTCTAATTCCAACCAGAGTAATGTATAAAATACACTGAACATTTGAACATGGGCTCTTTGCAAATGCTCAGCCTGCCTTACCAGGAGCATGCTGTGCATTTGATCATTCTTTATCTCAAGCTATGAGGCAGCTTTTTATACAGAGCTGTTAAGTTCAGCAGCATCAATCACTGAATCAGAGATTCCCAGGTTGGAAGGGACCTCAAGAATGATCTGGTCCAACTATGAAATGCAGGGGGACTCCAAACTTTAGGGGGAAAAACTATTTAACAATCCTGTAATGAACCTAACAAGGAACTGCTCCATTCCATAGGATAGTTTGGGTTGGAAAGAACCTTAAGATCATCCAGTTCCAACCCACAGCCATGGGCAGAGGCACCTCACACTAAATCATATCACCCAAGGCTCTGTCCAACCTGGCTTTGGACACTGCCAGGGATGGAGTATTCACAACTTCTTTGGGCAACCCATTCCAGTGCCTCACCACCTTCACAGTAGAGAACCACTTCCTTATATCTAACCTGAACTTCCCCTGTTTCAGTTTAAACCCATCACCCCTTGTCCTATCACTATGGCATGTTTGAAAAGACAAGGTAATACAGTAGCAACACTGAAGACAACCATGGGCTCTTAGAATAAATACTAAAAGAAAACCCAAGACCCCACACTATTTAATCCTTAGAGGAGGATTGAAAAGATGCTTTCTAAAGGTGAAGTATTTGTACTTATGGACCTCAAAAAAGGTGAATACAACGATCTTTTCATTTTACTGCACATCTTAAGAGAGAAACCAAGGTGCAGAGGCTTTCCACCTAGTCCCTCCCAGTCTGAATGGTGCTGTTTCTATATTGGTCATTGCCTTAGCCAGTAGGCAATGGGAAAGGCATTTTCCCTTATCAGGAAATAGATGATTTAACCACACATTGTTAAAAGTGTGTTTAGAAACTGATATTGAATAGTAAGACACACATCCTTTTATCCAGGATTTAACAGTGCTCATGTCATACATCTTATGAAGGTTTAGTGTTGCTCATGGTTACAGGAAATTTATACCTGCATAAAGGGCAAGCAATATAAATTCTAAAAGCAGGAAAACTTCAATACCTGTCCCTGCTTCCAGCACTCCCTGAAGACATTCCAGTTACTTTCATTGTTGGGGTCTTGCAGGCACAGCAAGCGGTTATCACATAACCAGTAGTGTGGTGTGTCAAAGCCCATGATTGTAGGCTTTATAGTGAGTCCTTGAGGTTTCTTAGGCAGGTCTGTAATGGTTCTGTTTTGCACCAGGGAAGCAAAAATGTCATCAAGGATTTTGGGTGTACTCTTGAGTCCGTTGTCTGTCTGATTTAAAAAGAGAGACAGAAGAACACACAAAGAAGTTGGTGCACTTTAATGCTCCTTGTCCTGCACACTTTAAAGATGGTATTTCCCACTTCCAGAACTTGCACTTGAGTTCACAATCATGCAAAGAAACAAAGATCTGCAGAGCTCTGCTGTCTAGAAACTCGCCAGCATTAAATGTCAATGCCATGTCTGACACTTTGTCTACAGTGTTCTGGCATAAGTAGTTCTGCTCTGCTCTACATGTCAGCAATGCTGCAGAAAGCCATGAAATAGAGCAGGGAACAGGGCTTTCTTTATTATAAAGAACACCAAGGAACGCCCAAGGCCAATATTCTACCCCACCATTTTGAAGTCATACCTAAGAGCAAACAAAGCTCAGGAATGTCCCAAGTGAACCAGTCTTCAAACAGGATATGAGATATTTACCCACCACAGAAGGATTTCCCCTTCATCAGCAAGTTCCTTGATGCTTCTTTGAGTCTAATGGCCATGCCAGTGAATGCACCTGCCTGACACTAGCCTAAGGAAATTAACCTGCTCTAACATAAAATGGTTTGGGTTGGAAAGGACCTTAAAATCATCTAATTCCAGCCCCCTCCCTGAGCAAGACATGCTGATAGTACCACTGAGCTGCTACTCTGAAAAGCATTAACTGAAGCACTCCAATATAGAGACTGAATAAGTTTTCCCAAAGGAAGGCAGGATTTTACCTGCTGTGACAAACATTCACAGGTTAGAACAGTGGCCTAAGCCTGGTATTAACCCAAATCTATAACCTTCAGTTTTTCATATACCTTTCCTCCAGAAGAGTTCAACAGGTTCCTCAAGAAGCCTGTGTTGTTGTTGCTCACGGGTGTCAGTATTGCACTGTTGAATGTCTGCAGGGCTGCAGCAGGCTTGGCTAAACTAGGGAGTGTCTGGAGAGGTTTGTTCTCATTCTTTGGAATAGGTATGAGGAGTTTCTCTGAAATGAAGAGAAGAACGTGTGAGAATGGAGGAAGGATTCTGAACCATGAGAAGTGCATGCTTTGGGTTTTGAAGACAAGAAGATACTTCATGCATACATGTATGCATGTACATATATATAAATCTCTCAACACATGCAGATGAAATACTCCTTTCATTCAACTTTCTTCAGTACTGTAAAGCTTTTTAAAATCACACATTCTGAAATATATACATTCTCACATTGAATTTAAGAATCCTTGTATCAATGGGATATTAACCCAGTTTTCAAAGCAGAACAGGCTAACCCTGCCAGGTTTTACTCCCAGCTGTTGCCATGGACCAGTTTGGCAGCAAGAGCACTGAACACCCATCCCAGCAGCCAGACTGCATCATTCCCACTACAAGATACAGCTGGCTCTAGTCTTTGTTCTTCTGACAAACAGCCACAAAGGGTTTACTCTTCACTGGTTCTGCACATACCTTTGTTTTCTTTATTCACGTTTCCACTTGTTAGATTTGATAACCAGCTTAATGAAGGAGGAGTATTTACTGACACACTTTGTTTACTTCCAATTGCTGACTTTAGAGGAGGATCGTGTGTAGTGACCTGTGGGCTCAGGACAAAGCTGTTATGTTGAAGGCTGGTCCTTTCTCCAGGTACCAAGTTCTGAAAGAACAAAGTGAGAACTTGATTAGACACACACAAACTCTGCTCTGAAAGGGGAAGCAATAACATGTCCAAATTCATTCTTTAAAACCAAAACTGAAATGGTTTGGCCCTTCAAAATCTATCTGGTTTCCACAAGAGGTCAGCATTGCACCTCAGTAGCAGCCAGAGACATTGTTCCAGAAGGATTTGGGATGTCCTGACTTTTTAAGAGCAGGCAAGGGAGTCTATCACCCCTCAACACAAGCACAGAAAGCAGAGATTCCCAGATGCATTTTCTGGGTTGCTTTGGGAACTAAATGCAGCTGTAATAGCAGTATTCTCTCAATTCTAGTGACAGCTGATGTTCAGACCAGGGCTAAGCTGGGGTCCAGCCTGGTAGACTAATACGTAGTGCTCCTAAAGGTGGGGGCAAAAGTCCATTCACCTGCTTAAAATACACCTGCATATGATCACAGCACCAGCCAGGCCAGCACAACCAAGCACAGGACTGCTGCACATCTACCCAGCTGATTTATCTGCTCTTTACCAGAGATTCTAGTAACAGGCTAACCAGAACTGCTGCTCTGACCTGGGATTCCTGCATAACCAGCTGAATTTCTTCTCTCTGCTCAAATACTTTCCAGTCAAGAAGTTATTCTGTACGTGTGCCTGCTTATTGCTACCTTCTTTATTTCATCTGAAGGTCTGCTGATGTTTGGGAAGGATTCCAAACATAATATAATGCTTCACACTTTAAGCTGATCCTCACACAACCAGTGCAGGACCTAATTTTACACAGAGAGGTATAGATAAATTTAAATGCTGCTCTTTGCCCAGGGTTACAGAGGAAACAGAAACAGAAGACTGAAGCTAGGTCAGTCATAAGCTAACTTGTGAAACCCATAACCATCTTCCTCACAATATTTTTCACCTCTCCTATTGATTACCAGCACCAAAGTCAAGCTCAGCCTGCTTCTTACACATTTAGTTTCCAAATAAGCTTATGAATAAGCATACAAGAAAATCAAAGTTACTTAATTCAGTTGTTTTCTTGCAAGATGCTGCAAAACTAAGCCCTTTGTGCTCCGCTTTCAAAAGCAATACACATTACATCCATTCACATATAAGCACATGGTGGGGGGCTGGAGTTGTTAGGATCTTTTATATAATGAACAGCAAACTTCCTACCAGGATTCACAGAGAAACCAGTGCTTCTCCATGCTGCTCTAGCCCTTCAATTTATTCCTGTTCAGTTAATCTATGGATTCCAATGCTCTTCCACTCTGCTTATTCTTCTAGATGCTGCGTGTATTACATCTCCAGGAGCGAAGGGGTAGTCCCCACTTCACAACCATTTCCATTAGTCTGTTCTTAAAACTTTTAAGGATTCTCTCAATCTAATCCTATTTTTGTCCTAGGAAATCCTCACTGAGCATATTTCAAGGATAGGTCACTTCCTGAGGCATGAGAAAATGAGATTTTTCCCCCCCCAAAAAAGAACTGAAACAGCAAGATGAGCACTGAACACAAGGTGTGAAGAAAACCCTACATAACGGGTTAGCAGTAATGGTCAGCACTGGCACCCTTATCAAGTCAGTTACTATGGGTAGTAGCTGAGACAAACCTGTACTACAGACATAGCATGAGACAGTAGCAATACCTGTTTTGAATCCTCCTTTAGAGTTGGCTTTGATAGTGCTTTGAACTGCTTATTTGCACAAGGACAATTAGCCTTTATTCCCCATTTTGTTCTTATGGAGTGAACAATATCACCTACATCATAGAGAGCTGAAGGAAAAGAGTCGTTAGTGAGCTCATGTGGAATTAGAACATCCAGCATTCAATAAGCCTTTATAAGAAATGGTGTATCTATGCAGGTAACCAATAGTACATGAAAGAGAGTTCATCAGTAAATGAGAAGTTGTGATACTTCTTTATAAAGGTCAAACATAATAAAGCAGTACTAAGTACACAAAGGCTATTCCAGCCTTTGGACAATAAATACTAAGCTTTTACTAACTTCATTACTAAAACCTCCCCTCACTCAGTACAATCTCAACAACATACAAAGGCCAGCAAAAGCCTACAGCTTCCTTTCAGCCCAACCTAGTATTTAAGATACCTTTTCCAGGAATGATTTGTGTAGGCATCAGATTCTCTGGTTCATGTACCTGCCCCTTCACACATTTAAACCAGGAGAAAGTATCCGACTCATCATCTGTAAGACAAAACCAATACATTGTTTTATTAGAGCAGCTTTCACCCTTCTCTAGAAGGTTACATGTTTTACTGCTATTGACACATCAAACCATAGGTCTATAACGAGTTCTTTTAGTTGGGCAGGTTTATTGTCTTGTTGCTGAGGGTTGTTATTGACTTTCAAGTTCAAATTACACGTCTGAAGGCTTCAATTCCTTTGTTGGAAGTAGCAATACGCATCCTCACCTTCGTGCAAGCTTTTCTTCTTCATCCTGTAGCAATCCACACACACACCAAAGCCACACTTGGAGCAGACCCAGTGAAGGTTGAAGATTGTGGTGTCACACACATCGCACATCTCTCGGACTCCACGAACAGCACGCTTCCAGGCGACCTGTCCTGAGGGAATCCCCAAAGTGTTAGTTTCATAGAATAGTTTGGGATGGAAAAGACCTTAAGATCATCCAGTCCCAACCCCATGCCATGGGCAGGGATGCCTCGCACTAGACCATGTTGCTCAAGGCTGGAAACTAAAACCATTTAGTTTAACCAAAACTAAGTATTTCCACCTTAAATATAGCTCCATTAAAACACTCCAGTGTTGCTTTCCCCTGTGCAGCACCAACTGCATCTCTTACTCCCAGCATGTATTTGCCCAAGTGAACATGCACACTGGGACATCTACTCAAGTGGAAGTTCCACAGCTACCCCAGAAAGAAGTTATTAGCAAGCTAAGCTTAATGTCAAGCTTGCTGCACACAGCTTGTCCTTTTTTTCTACTCCACAGTGTAATAGTCAAGTAGTTCTCTTCTGTTCAGCAGGTTTTCTATGTGTTTACAGGTGTGCATCATTCAGAATGGTGAGTAGGTTCTCCAAAGAACTCACTACTGCTGTGCAGGTTTCTTATTGCCATCACACTCCACCCCTCCTCATCCCAAACCACTTTTTCAGCTCACTCAAAACATCCCAAACATTGACAGTATCTTACAAGCCCTTTCAGGGCTGCATGATATACAGATTATTTCAGCCTGCTCTCAGTTTCATTATGACACCAGTTAGAAAACTAGACTAGACAAAAGCACACATCTGTCTGCTCCTCCTACCACCTTCCACACTTGTAACTGCTCTGAAACTCCTCTGCCCACAGCGTTTCTTCATTTTAAAAGCAAGTTATGAGAGACCATGCCCTAATGTAGGCTAAAAACACCACACCAGCATCCCAGACATCTGTTGCTTTCTTTCTCCAGAATACCCATTAGCTATGTATGGAACAGAACTAGAATAACTTGGCACAACTTGTTCTTAAGTAGGAGGTAAGAATTCTTTTGATTACTTTGCTTCGTAATTCTTCCAGGAAACTGAAATCCAGACAGCACCACCTCCATTCTTCTCTGCCTTTAAAAACACGCACTATGGTTACCATTTTCTAGGCCAATTTCCCCCAAAAACAGGATGAAGGGGGGGGATTTTTGTTACCTTTTGCAGGATATTTCAGTTTGGGGCATTTTGTCCTTTTCTACTCCTCCTATTCTTTCATTTCCTCTCAGTAGTTTGATTGCATCTCCTCTTTCCCTAGGCTCCTTTCTGGCACTCGATGGCCAAGGAGCAGTGTGACCCAACAAGCTGTTCTTTCTACACTGGTCAATCTTTTACTACACAGGGATAGTTTCACTTGTGCTTTTCTACTAATCCTGTAAGGAACTCTCTTTAAGGAAGCCCTCCCAAATAATCATCATCTTCATGCTTGTTTGTGTCGTGGCTCTGCCTGCCAGGCTGGTAACTCACTGGTAACACAGAAAAGGGCTTGACCCTGAGACATACCATGGGTGTGAAAATACTCAAATACAAATGATCCCCTAAAAAGCAATACCTGAATGAGCTGTTGTGACATTCTGGAAAAGGCCAGTTTGTCAGAGACTGAATTTTAATGACAAGGAAGCATTTCACCTGAACCCTGCAAAGAAAGCTTTACCATAGCTTCAAACTGTGGTGGCAGAAGAATCTACCTTTGTCCTGTGCCAACTGAGTGAGGGCTCTTCTCCTGAACTGTTCAAAGCAGAAGAATATCCAGACTGTAACTCACTTCTTTCCTACCCAGAGCATTAATAATACCCTCCAGTTTAATGAAATGGAGTTCCTTCACTCTCACCAGCCAGGACAATAAGCAAAGAGGAATTCATGACATTTTGCTCCTTTCGAACCACCTCCAGAACTCACATGTGTCTTCGCTTTCTGTAGCAGAGGGTGTCTCTGGTAGGTACATTAGTAGATGCATCCTCTGCTATTAAGAAACACCACACCTCCCTTTTGTTTTGTAAGTTCCAGCCAAAATGTCATCCTTCTCAAAGTGTTTCAGTATTCCAGTCTGTACCTCTCACTCTGCCTATCAATACTCTGGCTCCAAAGGCCTGAATATGTTCCAGTTCAAGCAAAGAGCACAACTTGCAGATTCCAAATGGTGCAGGGTAAGATACTCTAAAGTATCTCAAGTCTTCCCTCCCCTTGTGAAGGGTGTTAAGACTGTCCAGGTTTTTGTCTTCTATTCAAAACCCTGCAGTGACTCAAACTGGAATTATCATTATATGATGTCAGTACTACCCAAACGCATAAGACATGGGGTAGAAAGTCTTCCAAACTGCCCTGCACCTCAGTCAAGTACTCATAATCCAAACAACAAATATGGTGTTAAGAGTCATTCTACTCTGAGAAGTGATTACACAAGATCACAGCCTTCCCCATTTGTCTGCTTGTGTTTGCTACAGAGAGGCTCTGATGTGGCAAGAAAACCTGTGTTTGAGGACACAAGGTTTGCCCTGTCTGCTATATACAGATAGCAGACAGGGAAACATACACTATATGTATATATAATCGCTTAAAACAGTCCTATTGGAAACTTTCAGGTGGAAGAAAAAGCTTTCCTTACTGACGTGACAGGCAGCACTAGGTCCATTATGCAAGAACAAAGTAGGACCAAAGCAATCCAGTAGGATTTGTTCGGTCAAAATGAAAGCTTTATTTCACTTACATGCTAAGAACAGACTGTTGTCAGCTGCCTGCTGGGTTTCTTTACACTTTGTTTCATAACAGAATTACACTCTGCAACAGGAAAAGTAATTTGATAAACTGAGAAAAGTCTTTTGACAAAGAGGGTAGAATTTCTCTTGCTTTTGCCCCACCTGAGAGCAGAGCTGTTGACACAAGTTCCCACTGGCTCTTAAGCATTATCTCAGAGGAGAAGCAAACACTGAAGTCTCACATGACATTACCAAATGCATGCAATACACTTTCACATAGGACAGAAGCCTGAAGTTTCATATATAATTATTAAAACAGAGGTTATTTTAATACAAATTGATCTTACTGTGTGGTTCAATTGTAGACATCACTTCCTTTTCAGATATCACCAGCTGACAGAAGTGGTCTCCAATGTTGGCCAGGATGTACTTGGCTGTGTCAAGATCTAGACCCACAACATTTCTTGATAAAGGCAGCCACAAGCTAATAGCCTCAGGATCATACTTATTTGGAGTTAGAAAGCCTTCCTCACGTAGTATTCCATGCTTATTAAACTGCAACCTGTGGGAAGAAGGGGGGAAGAGGAGAAACTGATCATCTCAAATGCTTTCTTAGTTTACATTAACTCCAATGAGTCAGTGCTAGAATTGTAAATACACATCCTGTATGTCAATGAGTTTAGCTCTTAATAGTTATAATAGGCATGGATAAACATATTGGTCATTAGCATTAAGCACACTTAATGTCCTGCTTGTTTAAAAAGACTCAAAACATCAGGGTTTTGTAGCAGATTTCCTAAAGATTTAAATTGTTTCTTATTCACACAAAACCAAACAGTTTTTAAAATGCATTGTCATGAAGGATCCCACCTTCACTAAAAAGGGATGGTTCCATTAGCTTCATGTTTTTAACCAGAGGATTCAATGGCTTTGAACTGCACTGCGAGTCTGGATTCTTACCCCAAGAAGGTGAATCTGCACCGCAGTCTGTTGTTACTCTGGTCTCACACATTTCTGAGTACTTCAGTTAGTGTCAGATTATCCCAAGATTTACTACGGGAAAATCTCTAATGTGAGGTTAACCAACAGATTAGTAGCACTTCTGTAAACCTTTAGCTACAAGTTGTGCAAGAGGGACAGTGCTGTAGTGGAAGACTAAACCTCAAGAAAAAAGGAGAAGAGTGGAAGAGGTTCTTTTCTCATTGTCTTCGTAACCTTTCTACTTTCAGTTTTCTCTGTTCAAAAGGGCTTATAGTTTTTTTTACAGCTTTTCTAGTCTACCTAGAGCCTCAAAAGAAAGTCAACCCTCTGAAAGTCAAAAGGAAAACTGAGAATAAGTCAGCTCCCCATCTCCCTTGTAGGATAGTAAATAGTATTTTTGCTTTTTCTCTCTCTAATATTACAGGTGTTACCTTCTTCCCTGGAAACACAGTCCATGCTTCAAAGTGTAAATGGGTGTGGGGGAAAACAAGAAGCATGCAACAACATCCGGATGTGAAATCAAACAGTTCATGGAAAAAGATTTACACAACTTAAAACCAAAGGGAAGGACATGTTAAACACAGTCAGACAACATGCAGCCTGGGCTTCCAGACAGGCTTATGTTACAGTAACAGCTTAACCAACTTTTTGAATGGTTTCTTTGTGGTATCTTGAGAATTCAGTAGATTAAACAAAGGTTTTGACTCTTCCACTCACAAGATCAGAGCCTACAACTCTTCTGCAGCTGGCAGGTATAGACCTGACATTCCACACATCCAACTGATAAACTTCAGGAGACATGCACAGAATCTACGCTCTCACTCATGCCTCCAATACCACTGAGAGCACTCAAACCAAACTCACGTTATCCCACTGGCACTCACCCCAGAACAGCAAAATCAAGAGCTCAAAGTCCTGCCAAAATATTTTCTACTCAAATGAAGCAGTTCCATTTCTAAGGGCTTCAAAACCAAAGGCAACCTCTCAGTAGTCAGGTATAGTCCTAGAGCTGAACAGCTACACACTGACATCTAGCTAGGTTTGAACCAGAGATCTAACGAGACCACTTGGACCAAATAACTGGTTTGTCTCTGTCCTGGGAAATGAAGTCAATGTTACAGCTACACAGTGAGCACCCAGCAGACTCCCTTTCAGAAAGGAAAAAGGGTCATTCAACTTGGACATGTTATTCACGTTTAAAGAACATTAGGGTCTATAGAGAATCAAAATGGTTCTTACCTTCTAAAGTGAAAGAATCGACAGAAGACAGTGGAGTCTTTCTGCTCTTTGTTCTTCCTGTAGCTATCCAAACGGCATTCCCTGCATTTGTGCAAGTGAGGTGCGATGTTATTGCAGGAACCATCCTGTACAAATGCTTCGCCACTTTGCTGCAGCTTCTTCACTTTAGAAGCATCTGATAAAATGGACTTGCGAACTATTACTGCAGGGAAGAGCAGTGGAGATTAGACAAGCTGCATTTTCTTACATAAAGGTGCAAGTAACTGGATTTTAGTAAAAGATCCATGTCAGCTTTCCCTATCGCACCTTACATGGAAACTAAGTTATGCTAAAGTATTTGCAGTTGGCAGAAAGCTCTTTTCAGGTCAGTAGAAACTGTCTCAAGTGATAGTTCCACTGGAGTCAGTCTGTGGACTCAAGTTTAACAACTCCTTTTGCTCCTCCAGAGAGGAATCACCATCTGCTTTCAGTGAAAGTCCTTCAGCTCTCAGGGCTGGAGTAGTTGAGTGCTGAGCAGACCAAGGCACAAAGCAACCACACTTCACAAGTACTGAAGACAGCTTTGTCTTCAAGCATCACTAGCAAAACACAAGACTGTCAAAAGCACAATCTGGCCGTTTCTCAGTCCTGTTTGCACCCTTCATGGTGCAACTGCTTTTGGCACCTTGCTACAACAGATGCCAAGCACTTGTCTTCCTCCCACACTGGAGGTGAGGCCTACTAGGGCACAACAGCCACTGCTTGGCTGGCTCCATACTCACGTTATTTATGGAATAGCACATCATAACCCCACACCAAGCAACAGGAGACTAAGAAGGAGAGGTGGGTGTGCAAGGAGATTCCCAGAACCCCAAACAATCAGCTGATGCACAACACAACACACAACATCAGCAGTCCAGCTCCTTAAATAACTACAGCCTTTCCAATTCTGTCCCATGTAGAAAACTTGAAGAGCTCTCCAAATGGAACTGGGCACAGGAAACAGATGAGGTGGGTTATTCTGGGGTTTGGTAGGGTTTGATTTTGCTTTTTTGGGTTTTGTTCTCAGAACAGTAATGAAACGAAAGCTCCTTTTGAGCTAAGCCTTGTTGAGAATACATTGCCTGTCACCTTGCTTACAAGATTTAGAAGCAATGCTAAAAAGAGGTCTCACTATGCCATCAGCATTTGCAGTCCAAAGAGAACCTTGCTTTTTGTTAGCTATTCTGTTCTTGCATACATTTGGTAACAACTTCTTCCTACAAATTAACAATTAGTCTTTTTCCTTCCTCAGGAAGGGACATTTTTCCTCAAAATGCATTCCCCTTGTAAAAGAACACATAAATTACTCAAATTCCAGATTCACTCACACAATTTAACTCACTAATTTTGCGGATGTTACAAAGGACCTACTTGTATGTAGTTACACAAACTACAAAGACTTTCAAATGACATGAGGTTTTAAAAGTACTCACTATTATCCTGGACCTTGGCACTTCCAGTCCAAAAGCCTTCACTCTCATTTCTGTCATAAAGAATCTCAGCTGAATTTCTTCTAATAAAAAACTCCATGTCTGCAAGTTCATCTGGTTTGTTTCCTTTGTGGCTGTTGCAGTTGCTGTGCAATTTAAATCCAGACTCAGTAAAACAGTGAAGATGAGCATCTGAGGTGGAGGGTCTGCAGTCCAAAGTCCGCTGCAGCTCAGCAGTGCTGCTGCCCCGGGGTATTGCTATGGAAGGGTTTGGATGCTGCAACTGTTTTACAGCAGTGTGTTGTTTTGGAAAGTTTGTGGTGGGCTTCACAAGAGGTTCATTGGTGGCTTTCATGGTGGTTCCTTTTTCCTTAGCTGAATCAGTCACAGATGGAGATCTTGAGGTTGTCAAAGAGGTATATTTACCATTTGGATCGGTAAGTTTTTGTGTTTGTTCTTTAGATACAAAGCCCACTTTAGGAAAGGCTGGCAGATCCTCCTTCAGTGGTTTCATTCCAGTATTAAGACAAGAAGGATGAGTTTCTGGTAAGCTTCGTCTGCATGTGCTGGAAAACAACATGCAATGATTAGACATATATCAAACAAACCAGCACATCTAATGCTCAAATCTAGTCACGTTTAAGGCTCAAAAGAATGAATTTAAATGTGTACTTCGAATTATGATGTTCAAAGATTGTAAACTTGGTGTTAGATAGGTTTGGGGGGTTTTAGGTGGGATTTCTTTTGGCTTGATTTTTCCAAGAGTTGGACAGAATGAGAAAGCTGTACACACATTGGGAGACACACAGACTTCAGTACTGCAGCTACTCCACTACCTTCTCTCACAATGAATCAGTTACTTTCTAGTTTTCTCCACGCAACAGCTGTATAACCAAATCCATTTCATTTGCGTGTCTGTGTGAGAAGACTGTAATGCTCAAGAAACTGATGGCTGATAATACAAGTTTATACTGAGACATCAAAACTGCTCCTGCACAAAAAGCTCATATTGAAAGCATCTTTTCTGCATTTATCTTGTGAGATACACACAAAAAGTTGCAAAACCCAACCCCAAACCTACACCACTTCTTTTAAAGGTAATACACAGAATTAGTGTTTTCCTGTCACATTATTTCTACCATTATATTCGTTTTTGTGACAGAAGCAGGGTGTCTGCTAGAGGCTCCAGGTAGGACCATTCTCCCCAGCTGCAGTATAGAGTACACGTTTTACATCTGGCCCAGTCCAGACCGGTCCAAGGGCTACTGCATGAACTACCTCTTGTTTAATTTGCTCAAAGGCTTGTTGCTGCTCAGGGCCCCATTTAAAATCATTCTTCTTATGGGTCACATGATAGAAAGGGCTTACAATCAAACTGTAATTTGGGATGTGCATTCTCCAGAGCCCCACAACACCCAAGAAAGCTTTTGTTTCTTTCTTATCAGTTGGTGGAGACACTGCTGTTATCTTGTTGATCACATCTATGGGGATCTGGTGACGTGCCATTTTATTCCCCAAAATTGAATCTCCTATGCAGGTCCCTTGACCTTACTCCGTTTTATGGCCAAACCAACTTTTTACCAAGATTTGGATTATTTTCCTCCCTTTCTCGAAGACTTCTTCTGCTGTATCACCCCACACAATAATGTCATCAATGTATTGCAGGTGTTCTGGAGCTTGTCCCTGTTCCAGTGCAGTCTGGATCAGTCCATGGCAGATGGTAGGGCTGTGTTTCCAGCACTGGGGCAATCGGTTCCAAGTGAACTGGACACCCCTCCAGGTAAAAGCAAACTGTGGCCTGTACTCTGCTGCCAAAGGAATTGAGGAAAGTGCACTGGCAATATCAGTCGTGGCATACCACTTGGCTGCCTTTGACTCCAGCTCATACTGAAGAGTTCTAGCATGTCTGGTACAGCAGCACTCAAGGGTGGTGTTACTTCATTCAGGCCACAACAGCCTACTGTTAGTCTCTACTCTTCATTAGACTTTTGCACTGGTCCTATGGGCCTATTAAAGGGTCCTGCTGATCACTCCCTGACTGTCCAGTCTACGGGTCAGCTGATGGATGGGAATCAGGGAGTCTCGGTTGGTGTGATATTGCCACCAGTGCACTGCTGTGGTCACAATTGGCACTTGTTGTTCTTTGACTTTCAGCAACTCCACAACAGAAGGATCCTCTGAGAGACCAGGCAAGATGCACAGCTGCTCAATTTCCTCAGTCTCCAAAAAAGCACCAATACCAAAAGCCCATCGGTACCCTTTTGGGTCTTTGAAGTACCCTCTCCTGAGGTAGTCTATGCCAAGGATGCATGGAGCTTCTGGACCAGTCACAGTGGGATGCTTTTGCCATTTCCTCCCAGTCAGGCTGATTTCAGCCTCCAGTACAGTCAACGCTTGGGATCCTCCTGTCACTCCAGAAATATAAATGGGTTCCACCCATTGATAGCTTGATGGCATCAGGGTACACTGTTCACTGGTATCTACTAGAGCCTTATACTTCAGTGGGACTGATGTGCCAGGCCATCTGATCCACACAATTCAGTAAATCTGATTGTCCCCTACCTCCACCTGGCTGGAAGCAGGGCCCCTCTAAAGGTCATCACAACATTGGTCACTTACATCTTCCCGACAGGGATTAGTCTTTATCACAGGAGCTGGAGTAAAATCAGCTCTTCCACTCCATCTGGGAACCTGCTCACCAGAGACTGAAGCTGCAGCTTTCATGGGACGATCAGCCTTGACATCTGTTCTTCTCTTCAATTCATGCACACATTCCTCCAGAGCTGAGGTAGGTTTTCCATCTCACTTCCTCATGTCTTCTCCATGATCCCGCAGCTAAAACCATAGGGTGGCCCGTGGCATATACCTTCTATATCTTCTCTCTTGAGCACTAGGATGCCTTTTGCTAATAGCTAAAATGTGGGCTGGTACACATGCAGAGCTGGATAGATTGGCTAGGTCATCTCTCAGTTGTTTGAACTCCTGGGACAGTTCTTCCACAGCTGAAATCATGGAAGGGGTGACAAATCACTTCATCCACTGTTGGTGGTGCTACATCACGCCAGGTTATTGATGCCAATGAGTGGGCATATGACGACAATGCACATTCCCACATCAGTCCTGTACATTCAACTTCATCTGGATCTGCATTCCCAGCATCTGGCCTGCAATAGGTCATCTCTACCATGGCCGATTCCCTCAGAGACTGGATGCCTTTCTCTATCGTGGTCCAGTTGACCAAATGACTCATAACATCATCCTTGTAGGGGAACCTTTCCTTCACAGCTGCAAAGAGCTGCCTCTAGAGGTTGAGAGACCATTTCTCTTTTGCAATTGCTTTGTCAATTCCCCCTTCTTTAGCTGCTTAGCTTCCCTACCTTCTAGTCCATGACCATCAGCCCCATTGTCCCAGCATCAGAGCAACCAGGTGACGATGTGCTCCCCTGGATGATGGGTGAAACCTTTTCATATATTCGGTAGCTCAGCTGAGGTCCGGGGTTGAGAAGTCACCTCTTCTTCTTCCTCTGATCCACATAACAATACCTCTTGTTCAGATGCTGTCCTGTGTAGTAAGTGCACTGTTTCTACATATTTCTTCACTGTACGGATTGTTTTTTGTGTCTCGTTTGCTTTTCCCTTTGTGTACAGGGCCAACCAACATTGGCACGAACTGGTTCTTTGGTTTAGCTGCAGTGACTATCCCTGTGGTTGGAGCGGCTGCAGTGTCTGTCACTAGGGGTGGAGTGGCTGTAGTATCTGTTGTCAGGGTTGGTACAGCCACTGTGCTTGGGAGCTAAGTAGCACCAGCAGATGCACTGTCTATTGCTGCTGGGTTTGGGTAGCTGCTGTACTTGCTGCTGGGGCAGGTGTAAGTGCTGTGCTTAGAGTTGGAGTGGCTGCATGGTCTGTTGTAGTCAGTTTGAGCAGCTGCTGTACTTGGAGTTGGAGTAGCTGTGTTGTCTGTTGCTTTGTCATCAGATCCAGAGACATCTTTTTTCCCTTTGAAGGTGCTGGATAGTGTTGAACAGGGCTCTGTAAGCATAGGCCAAGGCCCAGCACGTTGCCGTGATTTGTCCCTCTCTGGTACGACCAGGATGGCAACACACCTCATTAAAGCGTTTTACTAGTTTTTCTGGATTTTGCCCTTTTTCAGTGGTGAAGTTCCAAAGGACCGGAGGGGCCCACTGGCCTAGATACTTGCCCATACTATCCCACACACCCTGACACTCATAACTGTCCAGCCTCGGGGAAAAATCTCTTGGTCTTCCTATATTGTCGTCTAACCCTAGACAAGACCCAAACCTGACTCTGCTTAACTGTCTGCTTAAATCAGACAAAATGGTTGTGAGTAAAACACACTCTCTATGTGTGCCAACATGGTCATCCCCATCACAATCAGCAGGCATGTCTCAAGGGTATCCAAATGCCTTCCAAAACCTTCAGAACTCTCAAATTATGCTGTAAATAGTCTGGTGGGGGAGCTGGGAAGGTAAGGGAATGTCTCTTTCATAGGTTGACCAGCCAAAGAGGAAAAAAATAAGATGTGTAATTGCTAAACACTTCCATTATATATCTCCCAAAGTACAGAGGTGATGACCACACTGGGAACTCAAGCCAGATCAGTTTCATGAACAATGAGTCTATTGTGTTACAAGTCATTACCATAAAGTACAGTGAAATAACAATCTTAGTCCAAGCCCCCCAGCTGATAAACACTAAAACAGCAAATACCAGCTCTAAGTAAGGTACAGCATGCTGAAACTCTGAGATCAAGAGCAACAACTCTGAGAGCCAATAAACCAGCATTGTGAAGAGTGACAATCCAAAACAATAAATGCTTATCACAAATACGATTAGACACACTCCGGTCAGATCTGTCATTATCTCAACCCTTTGAGCCCCACACTGGGCATCACAAAGAACTGCCATGGTTTAAGCCCAGCTGGCAACCCAGAACCACACAGCCGCTCACTTACTCACCCCCTTTCTTTCTTCCCCCACTCATGGAGGGATGGGGAGGAGAATTAAAAGAACGTAACTCCCATGGGTTGAGATAAGAACAGTCCAGTAACTAAGGTATAGTACAAAACCACTGCTGCTACCACCAGTGGTAATGATAAGGGAAATAACAAGGGAAGAGAATACAACCGCTCACCACCCGCCGACTGATACCCAGCCCGACCCAAGCAGTGATCTAGCCCTTCTGGGTAACTGCCCCCAGTTTACATACTGGGCATGATGTGCTGTGGTATGGAATACACCTTTGGCTAGTTTGGGTCAGATGTCCTGTCTCTGCTTCCTCCTGGTTTCCCTGCCTCCTTGGCAGAGCATGAGACTCAAAGTCCTTGGTTGGAGTAAACATTACTTAACAACGACTAAAAACATCGGTGTTATCAGTGTTGTTGCCAGGCTGAAAGTCAAAAAAATCACTGCACCAGGTACTAGGAAGGAGAAAAATGACTGCTACTGCTGAACCTAGGACACTGGGGTAACAAAGAAGTTTACAGCCACTGGCATTTAACAGGAATATAACTGAGGACCTGTACTTGATGTGCAAGAAGCTGGCATGCAGGACATCTGCCTGAATGTGCTCCTTTTCTCTTGGGAGAAATACGTTTGACAAACGCAGGCACCACACCTACGTGTAACCCAGCAGTTTAGTGATGGGTACAACAAAGCAGTGAGATTGGCTTGTGACACTGCAGAGCAACTACAGATAGTAGTTAGCAACTACTTTATAGGTAGATAGCAACTACTTTATCTTTATCAAAGATAAAGTCCATTACAATCAAATTTAACGGTTTTCTATGCCAACATTACAGAAGACTGGTTACTTCAGTTCTATAAGATGACCTCTGAGTTTGCATTACTAAGAATTGGAATTACTTTTGGAATTTGGAGTTATTTATGCATAAGCATCAACTGATTCCTTACCCCTGAGGAGTTTCTGCACCAAGATTGGGTGGTGAATTAGCTGGCAGGGGCAGGCCTGGATGCCTTTGGTCTTTATTAGCAGGAGTACAGCCAAGCAATGCTTCACCCAACACAGTTGGTACTGACTGCACAGCTCCCTGACTGGGAGAGACCTGTAAAAAGAGATTTTCACAGTTAGGAAAATTCAGGATAACAGAAATACTGCTTTGCAGGGTTCAGCTTAAAAAGACAAATACATTAATGCCATTCCCAGTGTGTTCTATAACGCTTGTTGAAGACCATTCCTCACTCAGGCCATAAGATGGAAAGACCTTAGAATAACTTCTTAAACCTCATCTGAAATCCTAGAGAAATTAAACCTGTGAAGTTAGTCTGACAACCTCACTAAAAATCCAGATGTGAACTTCCTTGTAGTCAGAAAACCTTTTTACTGGGATTCTAGGAAGTGTCAAGTAAAGAAGTGCTGTGCTGATGAAATTACATGTATAGTTCTTGTAGGAATACAACAGGCCTACCAAATTAGTGTCTTTAAAACCAGTCATTTTCTGTAGGGGTCCTTCCTCAGCTCTAACATCCATATTCCACTCCCACATACTCTGCTTACTGCTGGAAGTTACACTACAGACCCATTGCCATCAACTCCAAACTATTTCCTTTCAGCTTTGGTATAACACAGCTGTCAGGCATTGAGGCAAGCTCTCAAAACAACACTGGAATTAAGTCCACATTAGAAGTCAGAGTACTCTGATACTAAGTGATAACAAAAAAACCCCATGACTTCAGCTTATCAATCCCATACATTCACATCTACCAAAAATCAAAAACAATCAGACTTCCTGTTTTCTGTATTAAAAAGTACACTCACTTGTAACCATTTGCAAGACATTTCCCAGAGAATATAGAAGTGCTAAAGGATCCAGTCCCCTGAAGCAAAGCTTTGAAGAGAATTAGAAGTATCTCACTTCACTACTTTAGGGAAAAAAAACTGTGGTGAAACAAGCTATGAATTCAGATCATGGCAACTCCTCTGAAGGACATTTGGAATATGAAATGAAGAGCAGCTTTTTGTGTACCAAGCAGGCTGCTCCATGGCTGAATAGACAGAAAGCAAAAGAGTGGCAAAGTGAGCACCCAAAAGATGCTAAAGGTACTCAAGCATGAGCTACAGAAACATCAGCAGAGTATGACCTCAATGCATTAGCTACTTTGTACTGATTTGCTGCACACTTTTCCTTAGCAGTAAATAAAAGTAGACCACTCTTTCCCTTGGGGAATCTTATCCTGTACTTGTTCCTCATCCTCTATCTTTGTGAAGCCATTCAAGATGTCTAATAGCAATATCCAGTCATTGTCAGATACACACAGCTGGCTTAGCACAGGACTGACTGCACAGAAGCCAAGAACACCAAGCCAGAAGAACCCAAACCCAAACCTCAACCCTCCCATCCCACCACCACTGTAGAGCTTCCAGAAGGCCTGCCTAAAATGCAACTTTTGGTCTGAAACATTGGGGCAAAATTACAGGGCAAGTTTGAAGTGCTGTTCTTTAGCCAAGCCAAGATTTTTCATCAGCATTAAGTTACCCAGACCATCTTCTGACCTTTAAGACTGTTTTCTTAGATCTCAGTGACACTTGGCAAGTCACCCATAAAAGAAATGACAGACTTGGAAGTACCAGAAAAGTGGTTATATTCCCTTTTTGTACTGAAACATTTTCCAGACTGCTGCTTGAATCCTCAAAGCATGCAAATGTACCTGAAGGTTTTGAGTTTAAGTACAAAACAGTTAAAGAACATGAGAAAGCAAAGGTTATAGACTTGAGAACTGCTTTGGGGTTTCTCCCACTCCAGAATACATGATCAGGCAGGTTAACTCCTAGGAGAAGGAGGGGGCAAAAAGCACAGTTACCAAAACAAAAGCCAACCTTTAAGGCTCAGTTAACTTTTTGCTGATTATCACAAGATGTTTCTCTCATGCCTAGACAAGTTTCAAGGAACTCAACACACCCTCCCAGGGATTATGTTTATTATTTTACTTTTCTATCTAATCCTTATTTAAGACTGTTCTGAGAAGTGACATAATCGTTATATAACAGTCATATATAACACAGCTAGGTATTACCTCAGGAGAAGATCTTGGGTGTTTAGCATCAACACTTCCACTGTTTTCAGATGATTTCCTTTTCACACCCCCAACTCTTTTAGATTTATCTGGAAGAGAAGGTGATCAGGATTAGTCTATTTATCACAAATCTGCTACTTAGTGTTTGAAGGACAAACAATAAGAGATCTTACCAGATTTTCCATTGCTGTCATATATGATTTCAACGTGAATTAACTCTGGATCGAGAGTTTTTAAAGCTGGAATCTTGGAAAGGAACAAAAACACAGAAGCAGCCATTTAAAGAGGTGAAAGTTTCTGTTTGAATGGATTTATCTTAGATGCTGTGATATAGGCTGAGCTTAGACACTTAACTCCCAGGTTCTTTGAATACCAAGCTGAATTTGACAATATTTGTTGTGACAGTGTCTCTGCACGAAAACACACATAAACCAGTGCTTCAGAGCACGGTCTGCACAGCACAAAGCAAAGAAACCATGATTAAGTTTCAAGTCTCCCTCATTGTGCATAGAAGCCCATTTGCTGTCTGATAATTCCCCCAGCACCAGATAGAAACATTTTGAGGTAACAGGTTGTTCTGCACTACGCCAACCTCTACTTTCTTTAAGCTTATTAAAGTAAGGACAGAATTAGAAGTGATGTTGCTGGGGACAGAAATACAAGTTCTCACTCATTTCCCCATCTTTGTTTGTAAACCCATAGCAAGTGGTTCTTACCTCCTGACAGTTGACTTCTAGAGTTCTGGTGGTTGGATTACCATTGACAACAACTGCTGTGAACCACTGAGTAGATGGATCCAGGCTATAAATTCTGATTTTTGAACCAATGATGTTTTTCCCACCTTAAGAATTGATAAAAAAATACAAGAAAAAGGAGCTTAAGAAAAAAAGGAGCATGAAGATCATCAGTTACCAACATGAATTTGCTGACAGTACTGCATACAGGATGCAAGTAAGCAAACAAACTGAGAACCTTGAGACAGCTTCCACACAGCTGAGAAGGATAAAAAAGCTTGATAATACCATGCACAGCTACCTCCTTCCTGCAACAGTTCAATGAACTTTTCTGGAGGTTAAGGCATACAGCAGAGGCCAGACTGACCTCTGCATTTCAGACAGCGAGACAGAGCAGTGGACATGGAAATGAAGATTCAATTCTTCATCTCTTCACAGTATTGGAAACAACAACCCTAAGTTGCTATATTTGTCTTTCCATAAAAGGAAGATATTTCTTGCATATGCAAGTACATGGCTCCAAATATGCTTGTGTGAACCCAGTAATTAAGAATTTGAAGCTGGCAAATATAAACCCAACAAATTAAACTTGACTAAAAAAGTTTCTAAAACTTTGGAAGTTTCATAAACAAGAAGCAGACTAAAAACAAAATCAGGTTACTCAAATGTATAAACAACTCCACATAATGGCTTTAACCTGAAAGACGAGAGATGTGCATTAGATAGTGGCAGGAGCTCTTCCCTGTGAGGGTGCTGAGGCACTGGCACAGGATGCCCAGAGAAGCTGTGGCTGCCCCATCCCTGGCAGTGCTCAAGGCCAGGCTGGATGGGGCTTGGATCAACCTGCTCTGGCAGAAGGTGTCCCTGCCCATGGCAGGGGGTTGGAACTCAATGAGCTTTAAGGTCCCTTCCAACCCAAACCATTCTATGACCCTATGAATTCCAGTGAGAATCGCTACAAATCTGATACCTCTTCATAATCAGCAAGTCATGTCTATGTGCCCAAAATACATACTCAGAAAGAGAGTTCTTGAAACTTAAATCTCCATAATCCTTCACATCTTGCATTCACTGCTGTGAAAGTGGTATCAGTATTTTAAAAAGGCTTTTACTCCTAAGCCAGATTAGTGTCATTTACCCCATCACTGCAAAGATTTCCCTTTAGACTTGAGTATTTCTTGCCAGTTTTCTGCTACAGAGCATGCTTGTACCTTGCACCAAGCGTGTTTCATCCAGGTGCTTCTTAACCAGAGCCTGAATTTCTTCATTAACATTTTGATCATCCTTAAGAGGAAGCCTGGAATTGTCCACATCCTATTCAGAAGGCAAAGCAAGAAGTTAGTATTAAGAGTAATGCAAAACACCATAATATTTAGAGACAAAATAGAAGCAATTCAGAGAAGTCCAACAGGTTTCTCATTAGCCTGTCTTCCTTCAGCTCCTAGGATACTGGATTTATTGAGGCAGACATAATTTCCTTACCACTCATTTGGATGGAGCATCTGCAAGCCAGACTGAAGTGAGCTCTCCAGGTCCACTTTAATATTGTTCTGAAAACAGCCTACCTCTGGTTTCCTACATTGCTAATGAGCACTGACTTTAATGGAACCATCAAGCTTTTTAATTGGGGATTTTAAGTTCCCAGAAACAGCAACTTTAAGTAGTCCTGAGCAGATGTCAGTGCAAATATTTTCAGTTTTCTGTTTCTATTGATATTATAACACAGGGATATCGCCCATCTCAAAGCACCATTACAAAACGGTCATATGGATGAAAACAGCTACATCAAAATAATTCAGAGTTATTCATAGAATAGTTAGGGTTGGAAAGGACCTTAAGATCACCTAGTTTCAACTCCCTGCCATGGGCAGGAACACCTTGCACTAGACCATGCCATCTGAGGTTCTGTCCACCCCGGCCTTGAACACTGTCAGGGATGGAGCATTCACAACTTCCCTGGGCATCATGTATTTATATTTCGGGGCGGGGGGTGTTATTTCCTCTATTATCAACTACAGCAAACGGAAAACAGAAATGGGAAGTTTAGAGCAAGTTTTTACCAATAGCTCAGAGCTCTAATGAAAAAAACGACAGGTTTTTTTGGGTTCTGCATTTGATCCCAAGCACTGCTCTGGTACCTGTAAGAAGCAGAAGGCTGAAGAGCTGCTAGTGAAGAAACTATTATTCAAGCTGCCAGAAGAGCAATCTTCCCTTCTGCAGTATTGAGATAAGACTGCTACATACAGAAGTCTCTACTCTGCTGTTGAGCCAACACAAGCAAGACAACAATCTACAACTCAAATTTAGCCTAAAGCGATTCTTTCGTTAGTCTCTCAAGAAGAGTTGTCTATTTGCTGACTTAAGAAGTCAAAGTAGAACACTACTGATGGCACTACCACCAGCCTCAACTTGAGACATCTATTAATAGTTTCATTCAGACTGTTTGTAGGTCTTGAGAGTATTTTTCTGAAATGATTAAATCCTTTACCATTAGGAGATACTGTTCTTCAAACTGCCTGGACAGTCATGCAGGGCAATTGTTTCAACCTAATTCTCACTAATCAGCTTCCTTCCTGGTGCTCAATAAGGGGACTGTAATTCAACCACCTCATTTACATCCTGCCCAATTCCTCATTTGTTTAGGATGTGATGAGTTTCTATGAAACAGCAAGATTTATTCCAGATATCCCTGCAACTCCTTTCACATCAAGAACAAAGTGAAGCTATTCCAGATTATCCACACCACCAACACGATGGGATCACTGTCACCTGAGCTGAATAACTGTCCTAGCACACACCCTCAGCAGCTCTTTTAAGTAACCACATCCTGGATCAGCTTCAGAAGGTTTTTATTCAGCAGACACATTTCATTCAGAACTGATATTTATGAGCTATAGCAACAAACACCTACTCCAAGTTTTCACCCATCTAAAGTTTGCATTTAGAATACATTAACTTGAGTTATCTTCAATACCAAGATACAAGATTATCTCCCATCTTTATAATGTCATACAAGGTTACCTGAATGGGTGTCAAAAGGTCTTTAGAAAGAAAAACACATCTCTCTTCACCAAGATAACGTACTGAAACCATTGATCCCAGGCCAGCTTTGTCCACTAAGGATTTGTAAGTCTAGAAAAGTGATAAACATTGTCTTAGAAACAGAGAAAGAATATCGCATCATTCCTCATTTGCATTTAAACAAATACTTTAGTTTTGCATCTATTTCTCTGTTAAGATACCACATCTACACACAGCTCTTGAGACAAACCAACTTTCTACATGCCTAACACAGGAATTACTGGACTATACTTGAAATCAATTTAATTTATTAGAATAAGTTAAAAAAATCCATTCTGGGGACTGTCATTAACAACAATTAATCATTCAGCTCAACAGGAAGAATTTACCAATTCTAAAAGTTCCAATTGTGGCTATGTTAATGGAAGCCCTCCTTATGGTAGGCTGAGGGAGTAACTAGAAATCAGTGAAGGCTGCTGCATGGCTTACATTAAAGTTCTCAAAGGTTATGAAACACTGACAACACACTGAACCTTAGTTTAGGCATGTATGATGCTTGGAGAGCCTCATAGCTGTGATACCACTACAAATACATTGCTGTAGTATATACAGCGTACTATGGGGCTATACTTCCGTAGCCTCATGGTTGTTATACCACTGCAGTACCATCACAGTTATACCAAAGGCTTTAAGAACAGACAAGAAACAAAGATTTCCTTTAAAAGCTTCAAAATTGTTCCTAGGTTAAATTTTGTCTGGTCCTGCAGTAGCAGCTCTGAGTAGGAAAGCATCAGAGAGCCTGGAACACCAGAAGTGTCCACAGTAACTCCTTCCTACATGAAAAGTACATTTGTGCCCCATTTAAATTAAAAAAGAAAATCATTTTGATAGAGTACGTGTTTGGATTTCCAAAGGACTGATCAAGCAAGAAAAGACTTTCTTCCCCTTTGTCGTTTTCACTTCAGTTTGGACAGCTTTGTAGTGGCAGTACCACCAGAAAAGGAACAAGACTCTCTTCAGGAGCAACTGGGCATTACAGCTCTGTAAAGTTACCCTGTTTGTCAGAAAGTCTTATATACTTGAATCAACAAGTTGAGATCAAGATTTAAATAAGTTAACGCACACACCTCCTTTGTGAGCCCTTCTTCCCTGCCTGTGTAGTGGTAAAAGCAGCCTCCAGTATTGTGCTTGTCTTTATCCTACATCACTCCCCTGCTAAATGAGCTTTGGAACATGTATGCTGCATGAACTGACATGTCAACACATCATGAGGAAAACCTTATGCATAAATTGAAGACAAGTATCCAGTAAACACTGTTCAGGTACTTGGAAAGGGACAACAGCTAAGTTTAACTAAGCAAGTTTTCAGAACATTATATCAGCAAAATCCACTGTTAGAACTACTGATATTAATGCACAGGTCAGGAAATAAAATTAAGGATTCATCTTCCCACTTCCTCTCCCATCCTGTTTGGCCCTACTAGCAATAAATATCTGCTTAGATTAGCTTTGCTTAAGAAAAAAGCTCAGCTAAAATGGAGCAGCACAAATTACACTGCATACCTTATACTTAGCAGATTTAAGAGTATTAAAACATGGGTTACAACTTCAGCATAATTAATGTTCAGAACGTTTACATCTTTGTTTATTTAACAACTACTTTTAGGAGTAGCAATATTCAAAGTAGTTAAGTAAAACTATCCTGGCTGAATACATTAAGAAATGTGCCTTGTTCACCCCCACTAGCTCATTTGCCTAGCCAGCCATGCACAGCAGTTACAGGAAGCTTAGTTCTCTAGCTTGTATAGTGTAGCTCAGGTTTTTCTATGCACTAAGTCCATATCTCACAAATCATCTGTGCCAGGCAGCCATCACATCAGTCATTCCAATTCTTGTTGTCTCAGATCAAGGTTCACTGAAGAATTAACAGCACTTGAGGCAGAGTAAAACAAGGATTTAAGATATAAATATATGCTATCCTTAGAAACTTATTACTGACTTTTTCTTTCTTTTCTTAGCTGCAGTTTCATGAAAGGAGGAAGAAACATGAGACTAGGGGGAGAAGGAATTAACATTGTACAGAACAGAGGCTTGGGAGGGAAGCAAAGTCATAAAGACACATCCCTGTATCTTAGGCAGAACACACCAACTTCAAATGCTTACGGTCTCTGCCTAGCTCTAGCTATACAAGGAGATTTAGTCTCCCTTCAGATTACATGTTACGAATACAAAAGTGAAGCTATACTTGAGAAATTCACACTTGTAACAACATTGTCTGCAGAAGGTGGAACTGCAAAACCAAAGCGAGTTAGGCCAAGCGTATACTTGCCATAGCAGGCCACTGGACAGGAGACACAGAACCGGCATGAGATTTTCTTTCAGCCAGTACCAGTTTTTGCTCCACCAGGAATGCTCTCATTTTATGGCTGTAGACTTCTATCCATCTTCGTTTTTCCCATGACTCATCATCAAATTCTACACAAATCTACAGAAAGGAAACAAAGTGAAGGAGTGACTAACCAGAAATTCAGACATGTGCAACATGGAAAAGGATAAGCACCAGTTTCATCAAGAAAACAAACAAACAAACAAAAACAAGAGTACTTATAATACAAAGATGGTTATTGCTTTTCTGCGACACCATCAAGCACTCACTACAGCATCGCAGCCTGACCTAGTAGTTTCTAGGGGAGAGCCAATGTTAACTGGTTTGTCATTGTTGCTGTCTTATAAAACATTAATATTCTTATTTAACTCTACAACCATCCCATCTCAGGAAGTACTCTGCTGCTCAAGGACAGCTACATGTGATAACTCTGCCACCAGTGTTTACAATCAGGTCAAAACCATATACATATAAAACTCTAAAGAACTGTATAGAATAGTGTCAGACGCATTTCCAACAAGCTCCAAATCAGAGTACTTGAAAAAACAAAATGAGTTTTCCCAGAAATACTAAGAATAAGAGTCCCAAAGAACAGCTTTAGTTAATATATTGACTGCAAATGACAGTTAAGGTGATCGAGTCATATAATGTGAAGAAGGTCACTTGCTGCCTGCTTTGAACTGGTATTTATCTTTGAGTCTCTGAAATATCTACACAAACTTTAAGAGGAAAGCAGTTCTCACTTCATGGCAAAACCATGCCCTTTTTCTTTGGGATGGCATTGTCTTTCTTTCAAAGACAACATAAAGAGATGAGCAAAGGCTCGGGAAAGACAACTCTGCCTGAATACAGGAACTGGATTGCCTACCAAGACAACAGTAGAGCACTACTCAGACAAATCACTCCCTCTTCCCATAAAATAGCAAGATCCAACCCAAATACATTTAACTAACAGCAGAGAAAGCTCAGTTGAGTGAATCTTAGAAACAGTCCTTTGTGTTTAGCTTCATTCTCAGGGGAAAGGCAAGTAAAAGCATGCACACAATACAGCATTACCACAGGAGTGCTAATGGGTGCACAAATTAATTTAGTCATTTTGAAGTTCACGGAAACAATTAAAGAGATAAGCAAATAGCACAAGTACCAGAACCAGAATGGCTCGTTTTTTGCATAGGATCAACACAAACGGGAAAACACAGCTGAGAAAAATACTTTTTAGAAGTAGCTGATAGTCCTATTTACAGCTTGTTTTTCTATACAGAAAGCAAAGTTTAGAAGAATAAATATTTGTACTCCTTTAGAGACCTCTTCCCCCTGCCCAACCTATTACTATTTTGGGTCTAGCTATACACTGCTCTTCCACAAAGCTGTGAGAGAGGAAAGGAGCTGGCACATGGGTTGATACAAAAAGCTTTCCACACCTCAGTTGTCTACTCTGCAACTTCTGTAACACTTTTACTGGAGAAGGCACCAACTCAATGGCTTCCGGCAGAACCGTAACCAGTTACAACCCAAACCATGCTGCGATTCTATGACACTCCTCACTGCAAGTAGAGCATGGGCACAGTCCCACTGCCTAGAGAGCTTCACCCCTACTACAAACACACAACAAGCAGAGCAGCTCAGCTTCTAACAGCTCGGAGCTCTTCATAACTAAGTTCACACTTTCAGAGAAGAGTTACAAACAGGTAGGTTTTCCTTCCGCTTGACATGGAGCAAGTGCTTTTCCAATTAATCAGAGGTTACAAAGATTCCCATTAAAAAGAAACAGTTTCAATTGAAAGATGGCACTGTTGCTGCTGTCACAGAACAGCCTATCACCAAAGTCCCTTGTAGAAACAAATAAGAGGACCGTGCAACAAGATGCAATGATTATAAGGGGAGTTTTGTCCCTTAGTGAGTACTTTGTATACTAATCACCCAGGCATGTTTGAATAGTTTTGCTGAGAGCAGTTGCCAAACAGCCCCTTTAGAACTTAAGTCTCAAACAGTGAAGCCAAACAGTGGGAGTCCCTTGACTTCCACCCAAAAAGTAGTTACAGAATTACACTCGGCTTGCAGTAACTGAATGTGTGTTTAAAAATCCCTTCGGTAATCATGACTAAGAAGTAGCCACTACTCAAGAAGAGTCTGAGAAGCCTCCAACACCATACATGAACTTGGTACATCTTTCAAGACAGCAGAAGTACTCTGCTCATCCAAAGAGCAAGAAAAGTCACCAATCCCAACAACACAGGAGAGCTTTGCTTTCATCTCCAAGGAAAAGAAAACATTCATAATTGACAAGGTCTTAAATGACATTGAGGAAACACACGGAAATAAAGCCCAGGCACAGCAGATGCCATAACAATATGCATATTTTTAAACGTTGGTGTTACAAAGAACATTTATAACTAGTTTGAGGCAATTTCCAGCATTAGCACAAACATGCTGAAAGCTTTACCAGAGGCGCACATGTTTTCAAGCATGGTACGCAGTGAAGTTGACCAAGACAACTTCTCTGCCCCAACAAACAGCGTGTATATATACGTGTATACACACACCCACACGAATTTCCAGGTCACAGGGTAAGCGCTTTAGTTTAAGCAGGTGTCTTTGAAAATTTCCGGTTACCTTCAGGTCTTGTTTGGATATATCCGTGTGGGAAACTGCTCGGATCCTGCCCGACTTCCAGGGCCATTCCAAGATGCGGTTGGTATCCCACGACCTGTCCTCTTCTTCCGAGAGGCTGAGGAACCTCTTCCCCACGAGCAGCGACCAGCTCCCCTCAAGCCTCAGCACCATTTTAACTCATCGGGAGACCTCCAGAGCAGAAACCGATGAAGGAGGAGAATAAGAAACCAAGACCAACGGAGGCGGCGGTCAGCTGGCAGCCCCCCGCCCGCCTTCGCTCACGGGGAGCCGCGGGAGCCGGGAGATACGTTGCTTTCCTTCTCTTTCTCCTGTTCCCCCCCTTTCCTTCGCTCCCTCCCCCGCTTCTTCCCAAGCGGCTCAAGCCGAGCCCTCGGACACCCGCAGGATGCCCACGGTCCTGTTAATCATTGCCTCAGTGGGGGTGGCTGCAAGGAAATACCACAAGCTGCTGCAGTGCAGCTCCCGGAGATCCCCACGGCTGGCGACCGTCTCCCTGCCTCCTCGTCAGCCCCGCCGCCTCTTTGTTCCCTCCCTCAGAAGAGCCGAAACGGGGGGCGACAGCTGAAGAGAACGCAGGGGAACAAGCGGCCCGGCGGAGCTCCTTCCGGACGCCTGCTCTGCGTTACCAACACCCGCTCCTGCTCATCTCAAACACCGCTCCCCTTATGCCCTTACCCTCACCTGCTTCTCCCTCCCCAGCCCCTGCCGCCACACGGCGCACCCCGCGGTGGGTCAGACAGCGCCGGGCCCGCGGTCTCCGCGAAGGGCCCCGCCGGCAGCCGCTGCGCAGCGCGGCACTGCCCGGCCCCTCAGCAGCGCGCCCTCCCGCCTGCTCCCCACCCCAGAGCGCAGCCGGCCCTCACCGCTCCATCCCGCGTTCCTATTGGCTGTAGCGAGGCATCGGGGCGGGGCTAAAGACAAGCCTCCCGCTGTGATTGGTCTAAAGGGGCGGTGCCCGCGCGCTCGGCCACGCCTCGAAACCGTTGCTCAGCAGATGGCGGATCACAAAAAAGGGATGGTATCCTTCCGCGAAGCGTCGAGGGAAGGAGTCCTCCAGCACGCCTACGTTGCCGGAGAGCTCAAAGATGGGGCCAAGTGTGGAGAATCAAATATATTTTAGGCAGTTTTGCATGTTAAGGCTTGTGTTTGTGCCTCAGGAGAGCTGAGCCTTAAGCCATAAGGCCCGTTTTTTGAGGTGGCGGAAGGATCCGAGAGAGGCAAGAGGCGTGAATCGTCCGGTTATACGTGCAGCTCGCGGCGTACTCAGATATAGCACAGGGGGAGGGGGCACATGCGGGGCGCTGTTGCGCAGGCGCGGAGTGGCAAGGTGCACCTGCGGGGGCGCTGCGGGACGGCCTCTGCGCCTGCGCAGGACCGGCACCTGCCCCGGGGCTGCGTCTGCGCATGCGCAATAAAATCGGGGAATGGGGAGGGGCGGGTGGAGGCGAGTTGAGCCCGCCGCCATCTTGTTGGGGTGCATTGGTGGCTGAAGTGAGCTTACATGCCTGGGTCGTGTGTAGTGGGAGAGGTGGCGGGGGAAAGAATAATGTGGTGATAGAGGTTCCTCGGGAGGATGGCGGGCTTTGGAGAAGCTCTGGCTGGAGTTGATGTGGGTTATGGAGTTGTGTCTGCAATAAAATGGCTTCCACCACCTCGGGTGTCTCATTGGTTTCATGCGAGAGATGTGTGTCCTAATGAAAGAGTAGCCAAGGTAGTAAAGAGGGCATGTAGTTAAAGTGAAGATACGGTAATGAGGTAGCTGGTGGTATTCTGAGTGACCTCACATGACACAGAATCATAGACTAACTAGGGTTGAAAAGGGCCTTAAGATCATCCAGTTCCAGCCCATTCCATGGGCAGGGACACCTCACATTAAACCATGTCACCCAAAGCTCTGTCCAGCCTGGCCTTGAACACTGCCAGGGATGGAGCATTCACAACCTCCCTGGGCAACCCATTCCAGTGCCTCACCACCCTTACAGGAAAGAATTTCCTCCTCATATCCAATCTAAACTTCCCCTGTTTAAGTTTGAACCCATTACTCCTTGTCCTATCACTACAGTCCTTAATGAAGAGTCCATCCCCAGCATCCCTATAGGCCCCCTTCAGATACTGGAAGGCTGCTATGAGGTCTCCACGCAGCCTTCTCTTCTCCAGGCTGAACAGCCCCAACTTTCTCAGCCGATCTTCATACAGGAGGTGCTCCAGTCCCCTGATCATCCTCGTGGCCTCCTCTGGACTTGTTCCAACAGTTCCATGTCC